CCTAAGTAGCTGGGACCACAGGCACCTGCCACACCTGGTTATTTTTTGGTTGCAGCCATCGTTGTTTGGCAGGCCCCGGGCCGGATTCAAACCCGCCACCTTAGGTGTATGTGGCGGTGCCTTAGCCACTTAAGCCACAGGCACTGAGCCTTGAAATGTTCTTAAAAGCAGTTAATGTGACACTTAACACGCAGTGGGTATCCCCAGTTTCAAGGCCTTTTCTGCTGAAGAAGGAATAAGGTGATTGTGGCTGGTACCATGATGCAGGCAAAGCAGGGCTCTGGGGGACGCGGATGACAGGATTACTGAGTGCAGACCATGTGTCAGAACTTATTGTAAGTGCTTCGCGTGTGTTAATTCACGTAATCCCCCCACATCCCTGGGTATCGTTACTACCTAACAGGTAGAGCAACCAAGAGAGGTTCAGGCAATTTGCCCAAAGTCACACCTAATCATGGCCAGAGCTGATAGGTGGATGTTGACATCCTTGGAGCCTGGCTAGACCATAGGAGGTCGGTGTGACAGATAAAGGCTGTCACACTCAGCTATTGTCTGGGCAATAACCGGAGGCATGCGCTCTCACACATTATCTGATTTTTTTTTTTTTTAAGGAACTGATTTCTTTATTCTTAGGCATAGTTAACACATTTTTTAAAACTTTATTTAAATTAATATTAGGGTACAATATTTAGGTTACATTGTTCTCACTTCCAGGGCAAAGTTCCATCTGTAGAAGAGCCCCTCACTCAGGAGCGTGTTATACACCCTCATAATGTGCACGTTAGGTGAGATCCCACCTCGTGCCCTCCCTCCCTCCCTCCGCCATACGTCCTCCCTCCCTCCTCTCTCCCATTTCCTTCTACCCCAGAACTGGACTATAACAGCGCTTTATTGTTCTCAGGAACATGTGATTGTTTATACATTGATTTCGTATTAGTTTGGAGTACACTGGATATTTATCTTTCCATTCTTGTGATACTTTACTAAGAAGAATGTATTTCAGCTCCATCCAGGTAAATGTAAAAAACGTAAAGTCTCCATCTTTTAATGGGTTCATAATATGCCATGGTATACCTATACCATGGCAGTCTGTTGATCCATTCATGGGCTGATGGGCACTTAGGTTGCTTCCACGACTTGGCAATTATGAATTGAGCCACAATAAACATTCTAGTGCAAATGTCTTTGTGGTAAAATGATCAATGTTCTTCTGGGTAGATACCTAGTAATGGGATTACAGGGTCAAATCGAAGGTCTACATTTAGATCTTTGAGGATTTTCCATACTTCTCTCCAAAGGACTGTATTAGTTTGCAATCCCACCAGCAGTGTAGAAGTGTTCCCTTCTCTCCACATCCACACAAGCATCTAGTGTTTTATGACTTTGTGGTGTGGGCTAATCTTGCTGGGGTTAGGCGATATCTCAGAGTGGTTTTGATTTGCCATTATCTGATTTATTATAATTATTTAGAAGTCAAAGAAACTATATCCCCACACATGACATATGGATGGTCTCACATAAGACCCAAAGGGAATAATGTATAAAGAGGTGGCTAAAAGGTCTAGGCTAAAACTAACTTTTTTAAAAGGACATCTATTGTAAGGGAAAGAAAATGTTATCTTCAATCTAGACTACTAATCTTTCTCTCCAGCCAAAGTGACTACTTCCTAATTTTAACTTATTCAAAACCAATTAAACATGAACTATTTCCTGTAGCTATATTTAACTTTCAAAATAAAGAGCTAGGCTCATGCCATTTGAACCCCTTACAAACACTTCTTCCCTTTTTATCCTGTATAAATTTTCTAGCCTGTTCCCACATGCGGACACAGATGGTTCAGTTCCAGACTCCATGTTCCAAATCACAAAACTGCAGAGAGAGAGTATTCAAAGGGGAGCCAAGCCCAGGAAGTGGAAGGAGGTGTGAGTGCCAAGGGGGAGGCAAAGATTGATTCTGCCTGGAGAAATCAGAGAATGCTTCCTGAAGGAGGCAGCACTGAAGTTCAGTCTTGCAAGATGAGTAGGAGTTCACCAGGAAAAGAAAGATATGGAGAAAGACATTCACTCATTCAATGAACATCTCCTGAGGACTCCTGTGAGCCCAGCCCAGAACTGGGTGACGTTGGGGACACAGACATGAGTCAGATCCGGGCCCTGCCCCTCTGGAGGCTGACCATGTGGTGAGAAGGAGTCATGGAGAGAGAGGCAGGAAGGAAAGGGTGATGGAAAGATGATGTTGGGGGGAGGGTAGAGAAAAACATAGCAAGTGTTCTTAGAATTTGGCAAAGATGGGCGGTGCCTATGGCTCAGTGAGTAGGGCGCTGGTCCCATATACCGAGGGTGGTGAGTTCAAACCCAGCCCCGGCAAAAAAAAAAAAAAAAAAAAAAGCAACCATAACAACAAGGAAAAGGAAAAAAAAGAATTTGGCAAAGATCAGGAGGTAGTGAGAAAGAGGGCAGGGTACTTGGTTCCAGGTAGGTTGGGCACCTGGGTCCTTAGGATGGTGGGGCTGTGGAGGCAGGTTTTGACAAGAGTGGGTTAGTCCAGATGGGACCAGATTTCTCAACGTTCTAGGAGAGGCCTCTGTCCTTGTGGGAAGAGGCCCAGATCCCTGAGCCAAGGGAGGTGCTTCAAGCTGTGCAGACCTGTGCAAAAGCTGCACAGATCTCTGCCTCTCTCCATCTGGGGTTCTCTCAAGCTTGCTCCTGTTCCTTCCTCCTCCTGAGTGAGTCCTCCTCGCTCTTCTTTCTCTCTTTCTCTGTCTCACACCATACTGTGTCCGAGTCCAGATTCTTTCCCATTCCCCTAGCCTGCTTTATGGGCAATCCCCTTGCATGCCTGCCCAGGGAATTGGTCCCAGCATACATTACCCAAAACAAACTTGCTTCCACCCCTAGGACCTTAGGCCTTCAGGATATTCCTTCTTCTCCAGGACACAAAAGATTCTGGTATCCAGGAGCTCATCATGAAGAATGTGGGCCCCCCACTCTGGAGATTCCAGAGGTGGCGCCCACCACCTCTCCACATCCCAGCATCCCACTTTCGCTGAGCCAAGCTCTGGCTCATCAAGCTGCCAGCTGATCCAGACAGGGGGTTCCCCTGTCCCCACGTCCCCTTCCAAGGCCCCTGTCACAGCCCCAAGGCTTCCCCTTCCTCGGAGGACATTTCTCAACCTTGATTAATCATGGGGGGGCGGCCCCAGGGAGGAGGAAGGAGATGGCATAGCTTACCATAAAGAAGCACCCAGCATCAGGCACACACAGGAGGCCTGGAGTGCCCAGACATCATGAAGTTGGGATTCATCTGTGCGTTGCTCTCTCTCCTGGCAGGTGAGGCTCCTGCCATCCATCCCACTGCCCTTCCCTAGCTCCTCTGGCCAGGCCACCCTTTTTGTCTCTTCTTCTTGTACTCCCCCCCTCACCCAACCCTCTAGGCTGCTGAACACCCTCTCGGGGCCCTCCCAGCCTGCTCCTTGCTCACCCAGTTGCCTCTCACCCCACCCCAGGGCACTGCTGGGCAGACACCCGCACCATCGGGGCCCAAGAATGTCTTCCCAACTCGCAGCCTTGGCAGGCTGGCCTCTTCCACCTCACCCGGCTCTTCTGCGGGGCAACCCTCATCAGTGACCGCTGGCTGCTCACAGCTGCCCACTGCCAAAAGCGGTGAGTGACTGGTCCTGACCACCAAGCTGGGGAGGGGCAGATTAGGGATCGAGAGGGTGATGGTGGCTGTAGGCAAGAAGTGTAGAGCCCCGAGTTCTGATACCTAAAGTTTCATGCTTAGAATTTTAAAGGGTAGTTTCCCACATCTTAGAATTCTAGGGTCCAAAAATATCTGGCTCTAAGACTTGAAACTTGGACTCTTAGAGTCCTAGATTAATCTAGAAAAATCCGGAATCTAGAATCCTAAAAATCTCGAATCCATAAATTTTCCAGTAGCTTTAGTAAATTCTAACATCATAGATTTAGACTATTAGAATCTTAGCAAGTTAGATCAGCACTTCCCAATACACTCATAAACCAGCGATATGTGGACATTTATATTTTCTAGCAGAAACATTTAAAAAAAAGAAGAAGAAACAGATCAAATCAATTTCAATAATACAGAGGGTGCCAAAAAATGTATTTTAAGAAAGGAAAAAACTGTATTAAAATTGTAATATTCAATACATACCAATAATGTTCGGTGCCTTTTTATATTGCAAGTCTTATAATTGTAGAAGTCGAAGGTGACTTGAATATTACAAATTTAACATAGTTTTTTTTTTCCTTTCTTAAAATGTGCATACATTTTTGGGCAACCTTTGTAGATTTAATTGACATACCCTAAATATTATTATTTTAACATGCAATATGTAATCAATTTTTAAATAATCATTCACTATGTAGTTTACTTTTTTTTAGTGCTAAGCCTTTGAAATCTGGCATGTATTTTATATAGAGAGCACAGCTCAATTTGGACCAATCACAATTCAAGTACTCGAGAATTGCCTAATGCAATCCTAGAATCTTAGGTTCAGGGTTTTCACTCATGAAATGACTGAAAATCACAGTCATTGAACTATTGAACTATTGAACTCACAGTATCCTAGAATACTTTGATTCAGAGAATTTTAGGATCTTAAACTAAAACTATTTGAATCCCAGACTCTCAAATTTCTAAAACTGTAGATTTTTAGAATTCTAGAATAAGGTGCTTTAAGTCTTAGATTTAACTGAAATAATTTTAAAATCCTGGGGGGTTTTGACCCTGAGAAATCTAGAGTGTTAGAGTCCTGAATTCATAAAAGTCTCCTAGAACTTGAGCTTCATGGAATTCTAGAATCATAGATAATAGGGTGTTAAAAATTCTAGACTCTTGGACTCTCAGCATTATGACAGTATACTAGAATCTACCTCAAGAAAGTGATTATCACACAGTCCTAATATTCTGCTCTCTGGGGTAAAGTACAGAGATGCTGGTATGAGATGTTTTGTGAGAATTTCCATCACGCATCACTCCATGATGGGAACTCATTTAACTCAGGACTGTATGTCAGGCTGGGGGAACAATGTTTAGATTTTAGCACCAATACAAAGTAGGAGGGATGCAGAGACCCAGAGTTAGAACAGAATCAGAGGCAGGGACAGGGGCTACCTTCCCAAACCCAGAACCAAGAAAACACCTCATATTCTCCAAACCTTGAATTCTCAGTTATTAGCCTGCTGCCTAAGATCACAGGTCAGAGGTCCTGTCTTAGGCACGGACCAGGAGCAGAACAAAGGGGCTAGGACTGCATTGAGAGGGCTTAAGGCAAGACCGCAGGAAGAATGATATGTAGGACAGGTAGAAAAAGCTTGAAGCCATAAATGACCCCCAGTTTGGGGATTTTCCATATTTCATCCCCTCTCCATGCACACACCCCAAATAGACACACAGCCACTCCCACAGAAGCCACCAGACCTGTGGGGACAAGGGGTGGGGCTGTTATTGTGTGGTAGGTGGAGCTCCCAAGTGCCCACACCGTTCCAGAGGACCCAGGTCACCACCAAGGGTCCAGGTAATGTAGGGAGGAAGGTGGCTCACTCAGCAAGGGCTAAAAGGGGGTGCAAGCTTTTGAGGGAAGGCTACAATGGCAGAGGCAGACAAAAGTCAGAGTAGGGAAAGGGGACCCAAAGAAGGTATATGCCTTGCTTAAAATCATTCAATACTCGGGTCAGACATAGATGATAAAGGCCTAGAGAGGGTATATGGCTTATGGAGGGTCACACAGCACCCTGATGGATAGAAAAGGAGACCCGAGGCTGAGAAGACCCATGCCTTCCCACAACTTGACCTCTGCAGCATGTCCCAGCAGATATCTGTGGGTGCGCCTGGGAGAGCATCACCTCTGGAAATGGGAAGGTCCAGAGCAGCTGTTCCGGGTCACAGACTTCTTCCCCCACCCTGGGTTCAACACTGACCTCAGCGCCAAAGACCACAATGATGACATCATGCTAATCCGTCTGCCCAGGAAGGCACATCTGAGTCCCGCTGTGCAGCCCCTTAACTTCAGCCAGACCTGTGTCTCTCCAGGCACACAGTGCCTCATCTCAGGATGGGGGGCCGTGTCCAGCCCCAAGGGTACAACTTGCCTATGGCACTCATACCAAGGGTCTGGTTCCTCCTCTCCCTACTGTCTGTCTCTTTCTCTCTACCAATCAACGTATTTCATCTAATCTAAGATGCTAGAAATTTTAAGATGCATAATTATTTCACGAGCCACCAAGAATGAAGGGGAAAAAGTCCCCCTGAAGTTATGACTCAGTATACTGGAAGACACATCCTGATTTCAGAGATGTTTAAATGTGAAAATATTACACATGCATCTTAGAATCTAAATATGTCTCTCAGGAGTCACAAATCAGTGACCCATTACCCAAATTAGTTTTCAAGGTATCTTGAAAAAAGTCTGATTTGTTGCTGCCAGTGGCTAAAACCTGGGAGGTTTTACAAAAAGCCAGGTTTCTAAGTTCACTTGAAAAATTCAAAGAACTCACCTACATTCCCAAAATAGCAGCCACTGGACAAGGCCAGTAGAGGCTGCTACTAGATGAGACTAGGTGAGTTCTCTGGTCCTTTCCAGGTGACTCCACTGGCTGGTGTCTCCCTCCCCAGTCCTACTATCCACTTCTATTTACTTATCAAGTCCCCTGATCCATCTGTTTGCACCCATATCTCATGCAGACTTATGTGTATCACATCCATAGTATCTTTTTTTTTTTTTTTTTGAGACAGAGTTTCACTCTGTCCTCCTGGTAGAGTGCTATGCTGTCATAGCTCACAGCAACCTCAAACTCTTGGGTTCAAGCAATCCTCTTGCCTCAGCCTCCCAAGTTGCTGGAACTAGAGGTGCCCACCACAAGGCCCGGCTATTTTTAGAGACAAGGTCTTGCTCTGGCTGGACGTCCATATGGATCTTTATTGGCTATGCTGTATCTATCTCTGTCTGTATCTATCAGTGATCGATCACCTTCCTGTAAGTGTCTCTTCCCCTTTATCTCACTGCCTTTCCCAACCTCTGTGCCTATGGGCCTTTTTCTCCCTATATGTATAATTACCTCTTTCGAGAATTTGTTTCCCCTTAAGAAGTCACTATCTCCCTCTATGGTGTCTGTCTTTCTCTTCTTGAGTTATATTATACATATATCTTGCCTTGTCTCCACTCTCTGCATCTCTCTGTTTCTCTTTCTCTCTCTTTTGAACCTTTCCCCTCCTCGTTTCTATCTGTTCCTCTGGGAACAGAGGATTCTGTCTCCTTGTTACTGTCTGTCTGTGATTCTGTGATTCTGTCTCCTTGTCACTGTCTCTTGTCTCTGAGAGTCCCATGGTGTCACTCCCTGGGTCTAGCCTTGGAAAGGGTGGAGGGAGGGCTCAGGGAGGCGGAGTTCAGTGATACAGTTGCCAAACCTCTGTGGATCTCTTTCTTCAACAGTGAGCTATCCAGTCACACTGCAGTGTGCCAACATCAGTATCCTGGAGACCACACTTTGTCACATGGCATATCCAGGCCACATCTCAGACAGCATGCTTTGTGCAGGCCTGTGGGAGGGGGGCCGAGGCTCCTGCCAGGTGAGACACTACTCTGGGGAGTAGTGAGGCCCTCCTGCTGAGTGTCCTGAGTCTTAGGGAGGAGCGAGCTGGAGCCCCAATTTTACTGGGTCAAAGGGAGGATAGGAATGGGACATCTAGTTCCTGGGAGGGAATGGGACCAGGACCGGACTCTTACGTGTAAAAGAGTAGGGGGTGAGGGCCTGGACTCTGAGTCTTGGGGGAGGAAGGGGCAAGGTCCTGAGAGGAGATGGGAGTCTCTGAGCTTTCACTCTTGGGTCTGAGGGAGGAGAGGCTGCAGACATGGATTCCTGGGTGCTGGGGAGGAGGATGGCCTGTGTAATTGTCACAAACAGACATATCCAACAGTTCCTCTACTCTTCTCCGTGCACAGGGTGACTCTGGGGGCCCCCTTGTCTGCGATGGAACCCTGGCGGGCGTGGTGTCTGGAGGTGCAGAACCCTGCTCCAAACCTAGGCGCCCCACGGTCTATACCAATGTGTGTTACTACCGGGACTGGATCCGAAAAACCATGCAGGACAACTGAGCCCTCACGCCTCCGACGGCCAAAAGAGGAGGGTGGGAACAGGGTAGGAGTAGGGGCTTACGGCCAGGCTCCAGCCTTCATGGCCCCCGCCCTTGATCTCCAGCTGCTCTCCAGATGCTCTCTGAACCTGAGTCTGCGCCCTCTCAGGCTCCTCCCCCGGACACGCAAAGTCAACCGCGATACAGGCGACGTAGTCTCGCCCCCTCAAGCAGTACAAGGCTAGGCCTCCGACCCTGGTGATCCGGACTCTATGTCACCAAGAACAAGCATCACCCTCCCGGAACAGAGCACCCTGTGGCTCCGCCCCTCGGAACTTTACCCAATGGGACTTCCCCTCTGGACTCTGTCCCGCCCCTCTACCAGAGGCCCCGCTCCTTTGGTGTCAAGATCGCAGTAGCTCCGCCCACATGCAATTCATGCAGTGCGGATTACTACACGCGTGGCACCTCGCTGGACGTGTCGTGTGTTTGAATCCCGGCAGGGACGCGACGGGGAGAAGTTGGGGGAGGGTCTCGATCCCGTTGGCGCCAATGGATGATTTTACAATAAACGCGGGGAGCTGCGCCTGTGCTTCCTTCTCCCTGTGCTGTGAGATGAGAGGAGGGCAACTGGTGGGCTGCGAAGGGCAGAAGAGGGACCTCCACCGCATGGCACTTCTCCGGCCTGAAGTCTCTCTCCATCAGCCCTGTTGCAGCGAGGCTCCTGGGTTCTGTTGGGCTGGTCTCGTCACCTCCAGGGGAAGGGGAACCAGGTCACGGCGCCTCCCAAACCAGCCTTCCCAGATCCCCGACCTCACAGGGGGCAGCGGGCGCGGTTCAATCCACCCTCAGGTGTAGGAATCAAAAAGACCCGCCTGTCTTCCCTTCCCGGTTACTGGCAACAGTTCCCTCCTCCGGCAAAAATCTCCCACAAAAATCAGGCTCCAGGGACTTTGGAAGGAGGGGCTTACCCTCCCTCAGTCCCACCAATATCAGCTCCAAGCACCTCCACTCTCAGACCCGGGGGTCTAGGCTTCCAGCCCCTCCTACCTCAGACGCAGGGGTCCCAACCCCAGTCCATAATCCCCCAGACCCAGGGGTCCGAGCCCCCAGCCCCCTCCCTCAGACCCAGGACCCTGGGTCCCCAGCCCCTCCTCCCTTAGACCTGGGGGTCGGGCCCCCAGATCTTTCAGTCTCAGACCCTGGAGTCACAGCACACACTGAGCCACTCCCCTCTGTCACTTCAGGAGTCTGAGATTCCAGCCCCTCCTCCCCCAAGATTTCAGGTTCAGCCCTTCCAGCCCTCCTCACTCACACCCAGGCTTCCAGTTCTCTAATGCTCCTGGCGCTGGCTCAGGAGGAGGGGCAGGAGGCGGGCATTTCTTGTTAAAAGGCTCCAGAATTGTGTACCAGGCAGAGAGAACTGAAATACTGGGGCCTCTTCCACCGGTCAGAATCACTAGATGACCCTGCCCCCTGGATTTTCGAAGGTGAGGTGCAGAGGTACTTAGATACAGGCATCAGGCCCAGGGACCCCTCCTTCCCTGGGGTTCCAGAACCCACCTCCAAAACCCATTCTTCCTCAAGACACAGCAACCTGGACCCAGCTTCCTCCTGCCCAAGACTTAGGGGTCCCAGCTCCCAACTCCCTGACCCTCTGAGCCAGAAGTCCAGCGCCCCAACTTTCTTCTCCCTTGGAATGTAGGGATCTGGTCCCCCTCTTTAGGTTCAGGAATCTGGAGTCCCTGTCCTCTTCATCCTCAGACTCAAGAATTTGGGCCCCCAGCTCCTTCCTCCTGCAGAACCCAGAGTAGGGATACTCTCTTGGGATACTCTCTGTTCCCACCCACATCGCAAAATCTGCAACGCTCCTTCCTGCCTCTCAGCCCCATCCTCTCCCTCTCCCAGATCTCACCATGCGACGCCCCCCACCTGGCTCAGTGATGACCTGGATGTTTCTGTTCTTGCTTTGGGAAGACTGGGCAGGTGAGGGGGTGGAGGAAGCCTGGGGGAGGGGGGGAATGGGTCGAAAGGCAGCTGTGGTGCTGGGAGGCTCGGGAAGGGTGGAGTGGGGCGGGGGGGGGAATTTCTGTGGGTGCCTGTGGTGTGGCCTAAGGGGGGATATGAAGAGTGTGATATGATGGGGGTGCCTGGGTGAGCTTGCCTGAGGGTGGGTGGCAGCAAGGAAGAGGTGGCAGCAGGCAGGAGTAGGTTCGGTTGTGCTGCAGATTGTCCGAGTACGCAAAGTCTATGGGGGCTGCTTGTGTTGGGGGAGCAGTGGGCACATATGCCCGTGCAGAAGCAATATGGAAGCGTGCTGGGATGTGTGACTCGTGTATGATGACTCATGACTTAAAAGAGCATGTGCGTGTATCCATGTGGCAGCGTGTGTATGCCAGGGTTTCCTGCATGAAGTGCATGCAGAGAACATGTGCTGTGTCCATTTGAATCCATAGTTGTTTTCCTGGCCCTGGCACTGCCCTGGAGGGTGGCAATCCAATGCTCTCCCTCCTGCTGCAGGACACTCCAGAGCACAGGATTCCAAGGTGCTGGAGGGTCAGGAGTGCCAACCCCATTCGCAGCCTTGGCAGGCAGCCTTGTTTCAAGGAAACCAACTGCTCTGCGGAGGTGTCCTTGTAGGTGCCAACTGGGTCCTCACAGCTGCTCACTGTAAAAAACCGTGAGTGGATGGCTGGGGCCAGAGGTCGGTTGGGACTAGAGGAAAGAGGGGACTAGGGTTTCTATTCTGAAAGGAGAGCACTAAGGACTGGACTCCTGGATCTGAGGGAGGAGGAGGCTGGGGGCCTGGACTCCTGTCTGGGTCCCAAATTGTCTCACTCACCCACATTACAGGAAATATACGGTGCGCCTGGGAGACCACAGCCTCAGAAGTAAGGATGGGCCAGAGCAAGAAATGGCTGTGCTTAAGTCCATCCCACACCCCTGCTACAACAGCAGCAACAGTGAGAACCACAACCATGACCTAATGCTCCTTCAACTACGTGGCCGGGCATCACTGGGGGCCAAAGTGAAGCCCATCAGCTTGACAGATCACTGTGCCCAAGTTGGCCAGACGTGCACCATCTCAGGCTGGGGCACTATTACCAGTCCCCAAGGTATTGGGCTTAACCACTACCGGGAGGGAAAGGAGGAGCTGGTTGACCCAGTGGACCCCAAGCCATTGGCAAAGCTTGGTCCCCCAGGAGGAGACATTGAAGGGAAAGATTATGATGTTGAGATTCACAGGGTGCACATGTTGGAAGCCATGAGGCCAAACTATAAACAGGAGAGGTGAGAGAGAGAGCAAACTAGCAGATTATTAAGCAGAACTTAAAGACACCCTTTCTTTTTGGCTGGGGCTGGGTTTGAACCCACCACCTCCAGCATATGGGGCCAGCACCCTACTCCTTTGAGCCACAGGCCTCATCCTGAAGATACCCCTTTTTATGGTAAGGAGCACCATTCTACAAGATCTTTTGTCATATAGGATTTTATATAGTCTTCTTAATGGACTTGTGATATGTAGTATATAGACTCCTCAGAGGCCCAGGAAAACTCCTAGACATCTCTCTCTCGGACCCAGGAAACTTGGGCCCTGGTCCCTTCATCCCTCAAGCCCAAGTCAACCCCAAGCCCTTTCTCCCCCAAGATCCATCAGTCTAGGGCCCCCACCCAGCTCTCTTCTTATTCTGGACCTCCATTGAACCTGTCCCTTTGGGGTTGCAGAATCCAGGCAGCCCCTCACCCTGTGTCACAGAGGGGCAATGGGCTTCTGCAGGAAGTGGCAAAGCCAGGATTCAGGTCCCACCTGTCTGACCCATACTTCAAATAAGATAGCGTGATGCCATAGAAACACACTTGCTCAAACCATAGCTCTTCCCTTGTTCCCAGGATAAGTCTTTTTCTTCATCTGCAAAAGGAGAATCATTACCCAATAGATTTTTGAGCTCCATGAGGACTCAGGTTACATTTATTTTCTTCCTTGTATATCCTTAGTGTTCAGGATGGTGTCTGGTACACAGTGGGTGCTCAATAAATATTTGCTGAATGGATTCACGGATGAACCGATAATGAAATGGGTGACTGGGCAGCACCTGTGGCTCAAAGGAGTAGGGCACCAGCCCCATATGCCAGAGGTGGCAGGTTCAAACCTAGCCCCAGCCAAAAACTGCAACAAAAAAAAAAAAAAAGAAAGAAAAAGAAATGAGTGACTGGATCCCTCCTTCAAAGCGCTGTTGTGAGGATTACATGTGATTGTGAGCATATGGCTTCTGGCATATAGAGTGCCAGATGGAAGTTTTTCCCCCACAAGCCTGTTGCTCAAAGGAAGTTAATGAGAATGATTAATTTTACCTCCAATCATTAAATTCAAACATTTATTGAACACGTAGTATGCCCCAGGTTCTCTTGTAGGCACCAGGGATACAGGGATTTACTACTATACAAAGTCCCTGTCCTTATGGAGTTGCAAGCTGGGTGGGAGAAATAGGTATTAAACAAATACATGTAAAAGAAAATATTAGGTAAACCAGGTCTGGTGACTCATACTTGTAATCCTAGCACTCTAGGAGGCCAAGGCAGGTGGATTACCTGAGCTCAGAAGTTCCAGACCAGAGCGAGAGTGAGACTCATCTCTACTAAAAGTAGAGTGCTCCTATAGTCCAGATACTCAGGAGGGTGAGACAGAAGGATTGTTTGAGCCCAAGAGTTTG